AGTCCGCGGCGCTCATGGCCACGCACCAGCCCCTGTCGCTGAGCCGGACGACTGCCACCATCGCGCCCATCCTGAGCGTGCCGCTGTCTGGACAGTTCCTGCAGCCCGCAGCCTCTGCCGCCGCCGCTGCCGCCGCCGCCGTTCAAGCCAAGTGGCCCGCGCAATAGTGATGAGCCGGTGGTGGCCCGGCCGGGCGGCGGCCTCCGGCAGAGCCTGCGCTTTTCAGGCTGTGCGCCCGCTCTGATCCTGGTCCTTCTGCCCTGGTCCTGGTCCCTCTACCCAGTCCTGGACTCTGCCACCCGCCCCAGACTCCCCCAACACCGACCAACAGCGGCCTCCATCCCCTCGCTCACCTAAGCTGGCCCGGCAAACTCAACACGCGTCCGCTGGGAATAGCTTTCCGTACAGGTAAACTGATAACCGAATTTCCAAAAATACACCCGGACGGCGCCTGCTCTCAGTACTGTGGGGGTGGGAGGGAAATCCTTTGTACATATTTGTATAAAAATCATTGACTTTCTTTTTGGGGTTTTTATTTTTTTAAGAAAAAAAACAAATTCAGTAGATTTAGAGATCTGAACTTTCATTTTTTTTGAAGGTTCACTCTCCGCAGTTTTATCTGAAAAAAAGAATGTATAGAGACGTTGGGAGATTTTAAATACAAAAAAATTTTTCAAAAAGGCGAAGTGTCATTGTATTATAAAAGTCTGTTTATATATGAATGAATATATATGGTATTCTAAATGTTATTCCATCATGTTGTACACAACTTTGTAAATAAATTTTTAAAATGCTCAGCCTAGTGTTTTATTTAGGTGTCTAGCAAATGGTAAGATTTTAAAATGGGATTTGCATTGGCTTCCCCCAGAAAAATCTAGCAGCCTCAACCAATGACCTTTTCGAACGTTGCAAATTAATAATTTGGGTGAAAAAACATCTGAATTTGCAAATGGAAAGAGTATACCTAATTTAAATTGTAGTAATGTTTTCACATAAAGCCAGAATAAGGATGACGATCGAGCTAACATAAATGACTAGCGGCTCCTGCAAAGTAAACTGTCATTAAAATTCTAAACAACAGCATTCCCGTTCATTTTAAAGAAGTCCACCAGGCGAACATAACAGTACTGGGTCATTTTAATCGTCCTTTCAAGAGCAAAATTCCAAGCATCCCATATTTTAGCATTTAAACCTTGGATTTTTGAAATTCCTTTTTATCCCTTAAGAGGAAGTGCTAAATCACATTCATTTTTGAATTCACAAGGTAGCATTTCAAGTTTTGTATTGGGATGGTATTATTTGTATTAGTTCTTTATTTTTTTTTTTTTTCAGAAAAAAAAATTTCAAGATCCCTCTTTCCATGGCAATAATCAACGCCCATAACTGTATTTCTGGAGGATTTCTGAAGCGGCAGCCCCTCCTCCCAACCCGAGCCTTTCTGAAGGCCAAGAAATCATAATTAATTAACATCCTTCTAAAAACAGGTGCATTTTATCTCCCTCCCTCCCTTTTTTTCTACCTTGGCCAGGTTAGGATTTTTTGAGAGATCTATAAGGAAGGAGTGGGAAATGTCCTCATAGATTATTTTAGGTATGCATCCCAGATATTTCAACGTGTTTTGTTTTGTTTTTTAAGGTGTTAAAGTAGAAATGAAACGTCTAGACTAAGAGGCCGGTTGGGCCACCACCAGCATATCCTCAGACAGCATCAATTCTAATTATTTTGTAATTAATTTAGCTGTTACAATTACTTATGCAAAATCAGTTTTTAACTCCAGAACTGCACGTAAGCGATGTCAGCTCCACCCTGTGAGCGGCTTGTCAGTGAAACCCAGACAGTGTCAGAAACCGTGTTCACTCCTCGCCTGCCACCGGGAATCCGAGCCTCACTGTCGGCGGCCGGCGTGGGCTTGCGGGTCGCTCTGAAACACACTTCCTCGCAAATACCGACTCTCTTTTTCCTGGTGAGCCGTAAATGTTATTGTTCCCTGAGTAAACATTCCGTCGGGAGCCGAGTCCTAAAATAAAACAGGCTGCTGGGGTGAGAGTTTTTAACTTGATAAACAAGAACCCGATAATCAGCACTGTGGAGGAGCGACTGTAACCTTCAGCGAGGAGAGCTTTACTTCGGGCGGGTCCCTTCTAATCTCCATTTACAAGGAAAACTAAACGGATCTAAATCGGTTTGTGTGTTGCAGCTATAAAAGTCACAAGTTGTTTCACAGTTGTGTCTGGCTAATCGGTTTTTACACAAACAGCAAATGGTCCACGATTTGTGCAAACACACAGAGGTTACTTCTAAATTTAGCTGGCACCCCTGGGAAAAGGGAAAGGCAGGGCTTCTTGAATTCACTTTTAGCCTCAAGAAGCTGCTGATCCAAGGCTTCTAAATGACATTGGATAACAGGGGCCTCATTCCATCCCTGATCCTTTGTTACTTATAAAATTACTCGCTCATATTTCCGCGCATAGCAGCAATACCGGCCGAGCCTGAGCACGCAGCGTGACACTCGGATACAAGCTGCCGCTGGAGATCCGCAGGGCCTTTTCCAGCGATGCGTTAGGCGGCGCGATGTAGAGAACGCAGCAACTTTCCTTCAGCCACGTCTGCTGGGACAGCAAACAGCCTCTTTCCCGTGTGTTTGGAGGGTAAGGGGCTTCATGTCCAAACGCCAGGAGCCAACGGTTACTGAAAGTCCTGGCAAAATACCGGGAAAGTAGAACCTAGCCCTAACCCTGGAAAGAAGCTAAGCTTAAACTGTTTCAATGGTGAAGCTTTAAAGCAGACGAGGAAATGTAGATATTGTCGATAAATGAATGCAAGCACTTAGTAGGGTGGGGCCAGCTTTAAACCCACGTTTGATGTTTGCAAACGCTGGCACGTGTGTTGGAGGGCGATTAAATCCCTCTGAACCGGAGATTTAAAAACAGTGCAAGTGCCACCTGCTTTTTATTACGGTTTAAAAAAGAAATTAAAAGAAAAGAGGGGCATAAATAAAGGAAGCAGGTTGGTTTCAAAGGCGGAAGATGGTAGACTTTCAGTTATACCCCGATTTAAGCATTCCCCCCACTTCTTCAGACACGGATTTCCAGGCAATCAATTCACTCTCAAAGCCCGGGGCTCCTAGTGCGACCTCAGGGTGGAGTTCCTGAGTGGGCCTCTCACCCAGTCCCTTGCGGGAATGCAGGGAGGATCTGGAGACTCAGAAAAATGTGAAATACTCCTACTGGATGAGCAGAGCTGTAGCTGCGATGGTGGATATGGCCTGTAGGGGGCGACGAGCAGATGGAAAACTCCCGAGCTGTTTGTGTAGATCCAACGCTAGACACCCTCACCCCTCCACCCCCACCCTCCGGTCCAGGTCTCTTCCTGGCCAGGCTCTCAATCAAGCCCCCCGACACCATCCTTTATCCTCACGTCCTGGGACGACCAGGGCAAATCTCCGAGAAGCTACGTTCCTTGGCCCGTGTCCTGAAAGGGACAAGGTCTCGAGGCGAATTAGTCCTAGAAATTATGAAACAGTGAAATTTAGTGATGAGGAAATACTGGCTGGGAAAGCAGCTAAGAACTACATTTGAAGTTATTTATTTTACGTGGCTTTATAGGAAGAGTCTCGGTGGCGAAGGGAACATGGAAATCGAGTGTGTCGGGGTGTTTTAGAGTGAGTTCTTGGAGAAACTGACCTGTAGAGAATGGGATCTGAAAGAGAACCATGAGTCTACAGAACTCCACCTGCGTCCCAGACGGTGCGGGCTGCAACGGAACCGAAATAGTTAGGGGGAGGGGGCATCAGGGTGAAAGAGGCCTCGCAGTAGGCATCCCAACCAGGTATTTTCTTTGATTTTAGTCAAGCAGCCTATTTTTTTGTTTTTGTTTTGTTAAATCTCTCCAATTCTTTGACTCTCCCTGCAGAATTAGGTTAGTGTCAGTGAAAAAAAAAGGCCGCAAAAACTGTCTAGTATGAAAGTACCTTACACCCCACGCTCACGCTGGACTTTCCCCGCCCCCCATGGACTCCAGACGGAGAAACAGTCCTGCTCTAACGCTGGTAGTGTCCGCGGTGTTTTTGAACCTCTGGATGTTACGTGTGCAAAAGAGTTTTCTAAGATGGATCACAGAACCGGCCCCAGCCCCTGCTGCCTTGGGGGGGGGGGTACTGAGCAAAAGCGAGGCAGCTTCTCCAAGTCTCGAACCGTCCTGGACCACGCCCTGCGCCCTGGGAGGAGAGTACGCTCCCTCCAGCCCGAGCCTGCTGCCGGAGGATTCCTCTCTGGCCCACCGGTCTAGTTTCCTGCTTGCGCGTTTGCTGCCACTAACCCAGGCAAGTGGGGAAATCGGAGACCTCCGCTGACAGAAGCCCCTCAGCGCCAGGCCAGGCCTCGGAGGCGAATTAAAGGTAATCAGATCTCAAACCCGCCTAAAAGACCACCCTCCGACACCGCCCTCCAACAGTTGGCTGGGTGGTACCCAGAGCCAACTTATTCTCTACCGCCGCCTTCTTCTCGTGCCCTCTTAAGAATGTAAGAACCCTTCTTTGCTCTCTGGGGTAAAACTTGCCAAATAGGGCTGTGTACCAAACAGAATTCGAATAGAAACGGAAAATGAGCGCAGTCATGCCGGTTTTATTTATCCAGGTGATGACTTACATCGGAATTTCCCTAAATTACTCTAAGAATTAAAATGTCCTACATTTTGTGAATAATTAAATTAGTCTGCTTCCCTGTTTTTAAACATGAAACCGATGCCGAAAGCGTCTTCTCCCAGAGGACTCTGTTTTGTGCACACAGGGTGAGAATGAAGGGAACCTCACTATTCCCTTCCAAAAACCATGCCTAGAATATGGGCCTTATAGCAAGCGCCAGGGATAGTTCTCTCCTTTACACATACACAATTCCAGAAGACCCTGGGACTTGCCCAAAGCCACTCAGCAGGCCAAGCTCTGTTAGTAGTCCTGGGATGGAAACGTGTTCCTTACCCAGGAAGGACTGTGCCATCTGAGGGAAAGAAAACAGCTAGCCCTAGGGCCAACGAAGGTGGGGGAGAGAGAAAGACTAAAGAAGCATCGGGCTAGGGGCAGCTGCGGGAAGGCGGCAGACCTGGGCCTTAGGGCTGTCCCTCCATCCTGGGTGCCTTCCCTCAGCATCCCGGGTGAGGCACCACACTGGGTAGCTCTGCCCGGACCGACAGCTACGTGACCTTTCCCAGAGAACTGAGGGGAAGAAAGTGGGAACCTGGGCCAGTGGCTCCCTTAGCCGGATGGGCCAGCTGCCCAGCCACATCGCTGCAGTGTCAGGAGTGGATGCCACCGGTGGTCCGCCCCCTCCCCCGCCCCCACTGTGCTCGCGGGGCATCACCCCCCCCACATCAGCCTCGAGGGCTCCAGCTCCCCGCGCCTGGAAGTGTGGATGCGAGGAAGACCTGGAAGGCTTTAGGAAGGCTACCAGAGGGGAAAGGCACCTGCTGTAAAGGTGGCCTTGGAGAGAGAGATATACTTTCTCTCAAGCCCCACCCCACCCCCACCCC